ATGGATGGATGGATGGATGGATGGATGGATGGATGGATGGACAAAAATGCACCACATAAATACCAACTTTCCCTTCACATTATCTCCAATGCTTGGCTGGCATCTCATCTCACTTAGAAGAAATAATCAAATTTAGAGAGATGCATTTAATCAGAAATAAAAAAAAGGTAAACAAAAGTTTTTTAGTATGGGGGAGCAGGGATGAATGCCATATTCCACCTGTCTTTTCCACATCCATCCATCCATTATCTTTACCCGCTTCTTTTTGGGGTTATGGGGGTCACTGGTGCCCATATCCAGCAGTCACTGTGCAAGAAGCTGGGGACACCCTGGACAGGTCTCCAGTCCATCACAGGGACACAGAGACAAATAAGACAAACAACCATTCACTCTCTCTCTCACACCTAGGGACAATTTAGAGTCACCAATCAGCCTAACATGCATGTTTTTGGTCTGTGGGAGGAAACCGGAGCACCCAGAGAAAACCCACGCATGCACGGAGAGAACATGCAAACTCCACCCAGAAAGGACCCCCGCTGGGATTTGAACTAGCGACCTTCTCGCTGAGAGAAAACAGTTCTACCAACTGATCCACCGTGCTGCCAGTCTTTTCCACACACTGCATGTCTGTTAATAAATCTTTGTGCTGCTGTTGGGTTTGAAAACTTCTTCAAAAGGACATTTGTTCTTAAAGTTTGTGCACTATTTGTTTTTTGTTCTTTTGGCGTTTCTGTTTTAAAAGTAAATCCACAACGTTAAAGTAAACCCTTTGCTTCGAGGCAGATCGTTTAGAAGAAGAGAAGTGTTTCGAGATTTTAAATAAAAGGAGATTGCGCTGTAATTTTCACTTGCGTCTTCGGAATACAACAGAAGGGATGAGTGTTATACATCTAGCTCAACTTGGCAGACGCCTAAACTGTTTTGCAATTGGGTTTAAATGTGAACGATGATAAGTGTTTTTTTTTTCCATTGTTTAGAGAATTAACTACAAGCTCTAAACCATGTCCGACCGGTGAAGCAACACCCACTTTTCAACATCCGTTCATTTGTTTTTGACATTAATGTCTTTGGGGTCTGCTCCAAGAAGCAACATGTCCAGGAGTGAAACAGGAAGCTGCCTCCCCAGAACACTTCCAAGATTTTCCTGGGAGACACCAAGGTGTTCCCAGGCCAAAGAGGATATTTAATCTTTCCAGCAAGTTTTGGGTCTTCTCCCAGTGACATGTTCCTGGAACACCTTTAGAGAGAGGCGTCCTAATCTGATGCCACCTCAGCTGATGACTCACAGCTCCCCCTGGGTGAAGGAGCTCCTCACTTCATCTCTAAAATGAGCCCAGCCACCTCACAAAGGAAGCTCGTCTCAGCTGCTTGTATCCATGGACATCATTCCTCAGTCATTCAATTATGATCCATATTTTATGACCATAAGTGAGAGTTGGAACGTAGATGGACCAGTAAATCAAAAGCTTTGCCTTTTGGATCAGATCCTTTTTCACCATAAACGACCAGAGCAACGCCTTCATTACTGCAGACAAAGACCACATCTGTGGGCACATCACTCATAAACAAGACCTCCAGACACTGTAACGCCTCTGCTTGACACAAACTCTCCCCCCTGACCTGGCAAACACCTTCCACCTCCTTCCAGTTGATACCTACAACCTCAGACTCGAAAGTGCTGACTCTCGTCCCAAACACTTCTCCCCTCGGCTGCAAACCGCTCGAGTGTAGGCTACGTTCAACATCCTTACTGGGCTATAAAAAAGGCAAAGGCTGCAATATTTGCCCTAAAAATACATTCAAGGATGTTCACTGATAGATGGGATCAGTTAATTTGATCAATGTGGAAAACATTTTGGGGCAGCACGGTGGCGCAACTGGTAGAGCTGCTGCCTCTCAGCGAGCAGGTCCCTGGTTCAAACCCTGGTCCAGGGGCCTTTCTGGGTGGAGTTTGCATGTTCTCTCCGTGCATGCGTGGGTTTTCTCCGGGTACTCCGGTTTCCTCCCACAGTCCAAAAACATGCATGTTAGGCTGATTGGTAACTCTAAATTGTCCCTAGGTGTGAGTGAGAGAGTGAATGGTTGTTTGTCTCGTTTGTCTCTATGTGTCCCTGTGATGGACTTGCGACCCGTCCAGGGTGTACCCCGCCCCTCGCACAGTGATTGCTGGACATGGGCACCAGCGACCCCCGTGACCCGAAATGGACTAAGCGGGTAAAGAAAATGGATGGATGGATGGATGGAAAACATTTTGTGTATGTATTTTGTGTATCATTTCAAATATCACAGCTGTATAATTATACAATTATTATGAAATGTTTGGATTTTGGCTTGTGTTCAGGCAGCAATCCTGCCGTTCCGTAGCCATTCTGGATGCCCCACTGGACTCTTACTGCAGCACCTTCAGTCGTAGACTGAGACCACTGAGATGTTCCACAGAGCAACACAGGAAGTCCTTCCTCCCTGTGGTAATCAAACTTTTTAACTCCTCCCCCTTTCTATACATAGGACAATAAATCTGACAATTTTCAGTCAGGTCATCAAGACGTTTTTTTTTTTTTTTTTTTGTGCTTAGACGTTTCGCCTTCCATCCATAAAGCTTCATCAGTTTGAGGAGACGCCAAACAAAACTGATTCTGCACAAACAGCTTATTCCAAATTGGGGGGGGGGGGGGGGAACAGTTATGTTGGTGCTAAGATGGTCTCCGGTGCCTGCCCTCTCCCTCGTCGACAGTCATGTCAAACTGATTCAAAACACCAAAGTTCATGCTCAATAATCCAGGTATAAAATCCTGCAATTTTCAGTCAGGTCATGGAGAGGGAGAGGGCGGGAACCGGAGGAGAGGGCATGCCCCAGAGGCCATCTTAGCACCAACATAACTGGGTTTTTTTTTCCACTTTGGAGTAAGCTGTCGGTGCAGAATCAGTTTTGTTTGGTGTTTCCTCAAACGGATGAAGCTTTATGGATGGAAGGCGAAACGTCTAAGCACAAAAAAAAAAAGAAACCGTCCAGATGACCTGACTGAACATTGTTGGATTTTATACCTGGATTCCTTGTGTAAGTTCCTTTAAACTGGAACTCTGGCACAACAATTTCCTGCAGGATCATTAAAGTTCTATCTGATCTTGTCTTATTCATAGTACTGCTGCACCGTGTGTCAGATAGCATAAACTTTGAGACAGTAGCAGACTAATCAGCCTGCCATCAAACTGTTCCACATCCAACCAAACACAAACAGAAAATGACAACAATAAAAAAAAGTTGGTTTATCTGAATTTCCTGGGTAAGATGTTACAACAGGTGCACATTTTGGAAAGGTTTCCATTGAAAAGGGCATGAAACAGCCCGGTAGCTTGTTGTAGGTGTGAATCACCCTGTAACGTCTGTGAACTGTGCAGAACCCAGCGGAGACCACAGAGCAAATATTTACCCCCTCCCCTGTCTGCTTTTTCCCTTCCAGTATCACAGTTTCTGTCAGACATCTCGCTGCCTCTGGATGTGACTTACATACTCAGTCTCCCTCTTGTTCTCCAGGGAGAAATTGTGTATGTCCACATTGGCTCCTCTCGACACCGGTTCCACCTTGTAGCTCTGTGTCTTTTTGTTCTGAGCCTTCTGGAGCAGTTTGCTGCTGATCGGAGACCTGGTGTTCACCGACCCCTGGCTCTGCCCGTTCTTCACGGTCACCACGGTATACATGACCGTTGGCATCTGGGTCACGTTGGCACAGTCTTCCACTTGATTTCCAGCACTTTCTGTTTGGACAAAAGTGAGTTATTGTTGTAAAACTGTCACAAGAACTGACTGAAACACACTTTATGCTTTTAAACAAGGCTGGACTAAATTATTCTTGACCACACGTCTTAATCAAAAGCCAACTTTTACAGACAGGATGATGAATATCCTGCTGAACCCTCCCTCCCTGTGTGATAGAGGCTTGTTTCAAATGGACAAAATAAGCTTAGGTCATTGCCTTGTGGGCTGCTTGGAGCCGGAGATGAAGGCAAGTAATAAACAGAAACATGACAATTACATATCCACAAATTTCCACAGAATGCAGACCAAAAGACAGAGGAGGAACTGAGCGTAAACAAGCGTTTTCAAGGACACGGAGAGGAGAAATGTTAAGTAGATGCTGGAGTGTGCACATGGGGAAATTTAGGTAACGTGGATGATACGGGAGCAAAAATACAATCTTTAAAGGTAAAGATGGGCAGGAGCCTCGACCTCACCACCAGTCAAAGCAGACAGCAGGAAAACCATGACGGGAATTCAAATGTGATGACGTGCACACGCCCCAACACGGTTTCAAACCGTTAACTGGAAGCAGATTTTGTGTGCGTGAGCTGCGGTGGAGGCGGTGGACGGGCACGTACGGGTGTAGCTGGTGTGGGCAGGCGGCTTGGCAATCCGCCCCTTCTCTGTGACCACCTGATCAATTAGTGACATGGTGGGACTCCACAGACACCAGAACAGAGAACATGGATGTCATCAACAAACGTCACGAGCTGCTCTTTAAACTGAAGCAACCTCTTTATGTCTTTTCCCCCTGAACTAGTGCCATAAAAGTCCAGAACACAGGACAGTAAAATCCAGCATCATTTTGTTATTTAAACGTTTATGCAATCTTTAAAAGGATTTTTAAAGGACTTTTAGGTAAACACATTACGCAGTTTGTTTGTGTAATGGCACGAGAGTAAACAGCACCAACTGTGGTTAAGACAGCCTGTTAATGTCTGGGAGGAGAGGCTGCTCTGGAGCTGGATGGGAGGTGGAAACCACTTAGCTGCAGCCACGCGACCCGACCAGCAGGGGCGCTTTGGCTCAATCTCATCTTTTCTTTCCTCCCATCTCCATCTGATGAGACGCAGGAAATGCATGCCTTGATTTCAGATCATATCACATCACAAATAATGCCAAGTTTGGCTCAAATTTTGGGATGCAAACGGCAACAAACACGTGCAACTCATCTGGAAAGGGAGGAGAGGTCCAGACAGAAAGCAAGCTGAGTGAAAGATAACAGCTACATGTGTCTACAAGTGTGTGTTTGTGTGGAAAACACACACACACACACACACACACACAGGCACCTGGAGCTGCTCCTAAACACACAACTGTGTGTATTCACACGGAGGTGACATGTGTGTCGTTTGACCAGTGTGAGCATGCATCCGTTCAATTTGCACAAGATGCGGCTCAGCGTTGTGCAGACATGAGCGCGCGTGTGTGAGTATGCGTGTGGTGCTTGTTTATAGGGAACCCAGAGACATGACCTCCCCACCCCCACCATCCTCCATCTCGTTGCCAGACACCTGAGATGTGTTGGCCCACATCCTGGACTGGGGGGGAGCTGCAGCGCATATTTTCATAGCTGTGCTCAAGAATTCATGGAGGTAAATGAGCGCAGAGGACAGGGACATCACGGTCTGCGCTGGGTCTCCTAAAACTAAAACCTAAACACTTACTGCATGAATATGGCACCTCAGGAGTCAGGCTATTTGTTATAAAGGAGCAGGGTTGATATTTATTCTAAACAAATCTTTGCATTTTACGCACGTTGTTCCCAAGCTGTGCGCACCTGGAGAGCGCCAATCCTCCAACCCACAGTGAGTTTTATCCAATCTAAATTAATAAAACAAATAACTTGAACTTTGCGGGTACGATTTGGAGTAGGCGCGTTTCTTTTCCCCGTTACTTCGCACTCGCTCTGTTTTGCACAAAGTGGACGCTTCCCAGATTTGGTGAGCAAAGCGCAGCTTCTCGCTGTCAAAAAGCGCAGACACGCTTCCTACCTGGTTTCTGCGACGGGATGAGAATGTTGTTGAGCTTTCTGGATGCGGCGCTGGTGCACACCCCTCGTCCCTCCAGCAGAGCCTGCAGGGGCCGGCTCTCCCCGGGCTGGTGTCTGCAGGTCAAGTTGGCGCCGCAGCGCGCCGTGTACACTCCGCACGCCTGCCCCTCGCCGAGAGCGCACGTCATGCAGCAGCCGCAGCCGGGCTCCCGCACCATCTCCGCGCAGTCCTTCGGCAGCGGCTTGCACTGGAGCAGCGCGCCGGCGTCGCACGGCTCACATCGGACCACCGGCCCCACGGAGCCGGCGAGCCGGGCGAACGCAGCCAGCGCGACGGCGAGACAAAGCGCGCAGAGAGCGGGCATCGCGGTGGTTCGGCTGCTCACAAACGGACAGTGTGAGAGTTGTCACGCGGGCTTAAGGGGACTCTCTGTAACACAACGAGCCGGCTAGCCTTCTCCATCTGTATTTTCTTTTGCGCGATCTTCTCGTTTTATACAGGCAGAAAAAAGAGCCAACAAGTCACACCCTCCTCTGTATGAATAATGTAAGGAGAGCCCCAACATGAGGGACCTCTGCGTCCAGACTAAGGAGAGCTGCTCTCACATTCAGCTGCTTGACTCCATATTCCCTCAGGAGGAATCAATAAAATACAAAGTTGTCATCTTGTAATATAATGGCATGTTGGATACAATTCATATCTGGTACCTCTTTATAAATTATCTATTAATGCGTTAGCCTATAACTGTTATTTATGACACTTTGTAAAGCATGAACTATCATTTATTTAAAAAAAGAAGCTTTAAAATACTTGTCTTATATTAAAACAGCTACACAATTTCGCAACTATTAACTACTACTAACTACTGGGAACTGCGCAAAAGGGGAAAAATAAATCAAAATTATATAAATCCAGTTAGGATCCAATTTAAATCCAATTACAGACAATTCAATCCAATTAGAATCGAAAACATTAATGTAAAACCTCGGTTAGTATAAGTTATATTGATTTTGTTCAAATCCTCCATTCTGAGAAGCATGAAGGAGACAGTGGGAAGGAATGACTCTCTTTAAACCGTCAGCCAGAACCAGGGTCAGGATGAGCAGCCATTTGCCTCGACTGGTTGGGGTTTGAGAGAACAGGAAAGAGACACAGATAAACATGAAGTGGGCCAGGCCTATAGTTTCTATGGGCTATGTGTTGTTTCTATGGAAAGAAAGACAAAAAAACGTTAGTTGTAGAAATAATTACAAATACAAACATGAAAATTAGAGCAAGTAAACACAGTAGCAGCATGAGGAGATGTGGTCAGTTTGTCCTCCAGCAGTCTAAGCCTAGCAGAAGGGATAGCTCAGGAAACCCAAGCTGACTCCAACTATAGGATTTATTGTAAAGGAAATTCTTAAGCCATATTCTTAATGCGTCAGCCTCACGGACAGAAACTGGAAGAGGGAGCCTGAGAACTTCTAGCCCTGCCTCCCATTCTAATTTAACTCTAGGAACCACAAGTAAACCTGCAGTCTGGGAGCAAAGTGTTCAGTTTGGAAATTAAGAAATCTTATAAGATAGAACAGAATTTAAAATCTTACTTCTAACATAAAACAACAAATCTCTGAGTTTGGGAGCCAATGGATAGAAGCTAAAACTGGAGAAACATGGTCTCTCCTAACTCATCAGAACTCTAGCTGCAGTATTTTAGATCAACTGAGACTCTTTAAAACTCTTTTTAGATTTTTAATTAACACAGTTCAGTGAAGGTGGGGTGCTGTTGATCTCAGCCAGTGATGTCATCGTGAGGTTGTCCATAACCGTGGCTGAGGTCTCTGAGGTCATAGTTAAAGCTCTACGGTGGCAGAGTTCCGGGGGTGGATGAGATTCACCCTGATTTTCCTAAGACTCTGGATGTTGTCAGGCTGTCTTGGTTGACACGTCTTTGCAACATTGCATGGACTTCGGGGGCAGTGCCACTGGATTGACAGATTGGGGTGGTGGTTCCCCTCTTCAAAAAGGGGGACCGGAGGGTGTGCTTCAATTACAGGGCATCCCTCTACTTAATCTCTTGGGTAAGGTCTCTTCAGGGGTACTGGAGAAGTTAGTCGGATTGTTGGTCGAACCTCAGATCCAGGAGAAACAATGTGGGTTCTGTCCTAGTCGTGGAACACTAGACAAGTTTTTACCCTCACAAGGGTCCTCAAGGGGTCATGGGAGTTTTCCTATTCAGTCAACATGTGTTTTATGTACTTGGAAAAGGCGTTGGACCGTGTTCCTGATGGTACTCTGTGAGAGGTGCTCAGCGAGTATGGGACTGGAGGCTGTTCAATCTCTATATAAAAGTGGTGTAAGAGATGGTTCTCATTGCTGGCAGTAAGTCGGACCCCTTCAAGGTGGGAGTTGGACTGCTGCCCATTGTCACTGATTCTGTTCATAACTTTTATGGGCAGAACTTCTCGGTGCAGCCAGGTGGAGGTGGTCATCTGATTCGGTGGCCTCAGGATTCCATCTCTGCTCTTTGCAGATGATCTGGTCCTGTTGGCGCCATCGTGCCATGATCTTCAGCTCTCAGTGGAGCAGTTTACAGCCAAGTGTGAAGAAACTGGGATGAGAACCAGCACCTCCAAATATGAGGCCATGGTCCTCAACTGAAAAAGAGTGGATTGCTCTCTTCAGGTCCAGGGTGAGGTTCTACCTCATGTGGAGGGGTTCAAGTATCTCAGGGTTTTGATCATGAGTAAGGCAAAAATGGAGTGTGAGATTGACAGAGAGATTGGTGCATCATCTG